CAGCTAACTCCTGGTTCCTCTGGCTCTCACAACATTTCTGCATCTATCTTCAGCAACGATCCCTGAGCCTTAGGTACAGGAGTCGTACTGGAGATGTATCAATTGAGACTGGGCTCCACAACTCTGCATTTTGTTGGTTGTGGTTTTCCATAATGGTCTAGAGAATATTTTTGACATTTATTTAAAACTGTATCAAAAATAGCAAGCATGACTGAAAAAACAATTATGGTTTTGCTTCTGCAAATTGGAAAAGCATTCTATGGGCTGTTGTAACATTTTTTACTTATGTTTTAGGAGAAAAATCTGAGAACTATACGAAACCTAAATTTCGTGCTTCAATAGCCTTGTGAATCAAACATACCATAATGTGCTTCCTTATCAGCCTGCAAAATATCCCAGAGTCCAAAAGGTTTCAATAGCTATAGCTCGGCAGTACTGAATCCTGTGACACACGCGCTCACACACCTTGAACGCCACCTGCGGTGGTTAAATGAGACTGTCGACTTCTGTTCTATTTGCTTTTTCGGCAAGTCTTAAAAGCAATTACTATTCTATTACTGTTCACACAAGAGAAAATTTACCGGCTTGTAATTTAGAGGCAAGTGGAACAGACAGAGGAAAATGCAACCACCTACTCTGGTTTCCACCTCAACGTTTCGAAGACACACATCCGTCACACCAAATGATACTCTGGGCATGTCTTCATGCCTATTCATGAGGGGGCTCATCAGTGAAAAGTAGGCTGAGAGAAGAAGAATGATAGAAAAACACAATGGGAAGAGGCAGGTCGGCAATGTCTTTTAAACCCAAATTGTTATTTCTGGCCCATTAAAACCTCAAAATCCAAATGGAAGCCGCTGGTCTCTGAGGAAAACTATCAAAGCAGAACCATAATTCAAATAATATACATCCACAGAGCATAAAGAAAACCTATAGATCTAACATTCAGAAAACTGCCTGCAGTTTTACAGTCACTAAAGAAAATAAAACGATAAAAAATCATGTGTTATCAGTCCTATGGCCTATTACTACACTCTCAGAGGGGAAGACATAACATTCAAGGAGTATGCTCTGGGTAGTCTTTCTAGGTTACACCTGTGAGAAGCTTCTAGGCCTCTTTACGAAGAGTTCCCCCAAGCTAGGCAACTAGGTCAGGATAAAAGAAAGATAGAGAAAATCAGACTTCCTCTCAGGATGTACTTAGTGTCTATTGGAAGGGGCTGCCAAGCACTGTAAACCCAAATGTCTTTTGGGCTGTGGTTCCAGCAGGCAGCTTGCAGAAGGGGAACATGGGAATGCTTTAGGAAAGCAGCAAGACCATGGAATTAAATGCTGTTGCTTTGTCTGCCCAGCACACAAATAGGTTAGTAGTACCCAGAAAGAAATCCCAACCAGGGGCCTTTTCCCCATTTTGTCCATCCTTTCCAAAAACCTTCCACACTGTCTCATTAACCAACCCATGTGCCGCTTGAATCTCTTAGTGGGTTTTGTCTTTCTGTCTCAGCTCACCGAAGTTAAATTTTTTAAGTTTTTGGTTTTTTGCTTTTTTTTTTTTTTTTTTTTGGTTTTTCGAGACCTGGGTTCAATTCCCAGCACCCACATGGCAGCTCACAACTCAAGTTCCAGTGGATCCGACTCCCTCACAAAGATATGCAGGTCAAACACCAATGCATATATAAAAGAAAAAAAAAAGGTTTTTTTGCTATTTTTTTAAAGTGCTATTTTTTTTAAACCTTTCAATTCAATTGATCTCCAAAGGTGAAAATGCCATCAGCTGAAAAGCATCCCTTTAAGCTTGGGAAAGCCTTGAAGAACAGACATCTGATCGATAATGCTATTGAAAATATGACCAGATAAAAAGTCCCATTTATCTGTACTTGGGGCTTTATTAAAGCAGCCTAAATCCTTTGCAAATAAGCTTTTCCAGAAAGCTTGATCAATGTAGACAGGCAGGCAGGATTACCAGTGACCCAGCATGCAAAACAAAACCCACTCCTGTCCACGGGGAGAACTGTGGTAGTGGAGGTGCTTGAAACGGGCGAAGACCCCACGACTTCCTCCTCGGTTAGACAGCTTCCGAGGAGGCTGTGGCTTACACTCAGCTTCATTGGCAGATGGATTTGGCTGTGCACACAAGATCGTTCAGTGCAAATATTCCTTCCTTGGCATCATGGATCAGTTGAAAAGGAAAGCTGAAAATTAGCCATACAGGAGGGAAAAAAAAAAAAAAAACACATGGTATCCCAGTTACCAAGGAGGAGTAATTGAATGCAGATTGCCTGTTGCGTCTTTAATTTAATTTGGAGGCCTTTCATCCTTTACTTTCCTTCATTTGCAGCCAATACTTAGTGAGCTAATTTGTACCTGGTTCATTTTCCTCCTTTTATCTTATCTTTTTTTTTTTTTTTTTTTTTTTTTTTTTTTTTTTTTTTTTTTTTTTTTTTTTGGCACCAACCGTGGAGATTAGAAGCTCTATGAACAAAAAAGATGAAGCCTGACTTGGGACATTTTTTTCCTTACCTGCTAAGATTTACTTGAATTTGTGCATGTGCTTAATATAAAGGGTTGAGATACAGGCCTCCACGCTGAGCTTCTTCTCCTCTTCCCCCGAGGAGCTCCAGTGTTGAGCAGTTTATAGACTTCTCCATTTTCTCCAAGGGAACAGTGCCTAGACTGTAGTCCACATAGAATCACTAATTCCAGAGGGGGTGCAGAGTGAGTCACCCCATCAACAAAACCAAGAGCTTAAAGGAACATCGAAGTCAAAGTCTAGAAAGTATACAAGAGGATGCATAAGCCTCACTAATCAAGTGGAGTGTTATGCGAGGAAAAAGGATTGTAAGAAGGAAAATGAAAACTGTAACGCACATTCACAACAAAGAAGAGCCTAATCTGTGAAAGAAGGATGTAACTGGGAGGAGGGGGCCGGGCAGTGCTGGAGAAAGGTGCTTGCTATAAACTGCAGTCTGAGAGAGAGGTTCAGGGGATACAGTGTGTCCTGCATCTCACACTGAAAAAAAAATACACCTGTCATACACCTATCCATAAAAGTTATACATGGTCTGAAAATATTTATTCTGAGTATTTCACTATTTCTAATTGTATGAAATGTTACTGTCTTAAATGTTTCACTCTTTTAAAAAATGGTTTTCTCTTTGCCAATACACTTTTTTCTTCCTCCCGGGTCCTTTTCCTCTTATCATCCCCCAATCCCCCTCCACAGACCGATTTTTCTTCTGCTCTTTAGTACCCTCCACACAAGCCCTCCTTTCAGCAGGGAGAGTCTCAAAGGAAGACTGTATCCGAATTGTTTCCCGGCCTGTGTGTGCCAACTTTTCTACTTCTCCAGCACCTCGTGCCAGCAGGCTGAACACTGGGATAAAGGCAGTCCTTCCCCTTTCCAGTTTAGCCCCCTCACATGGTAATTCACAGCAATGTGCACTATTTTTCTTAAACAAGACCACTCATCGTAGGTGAAGCAACTTCAGAGCTGGGTGACAAAGAAGACTTGGCTCACAAATAAACAAGCATTCTGAGTTAAAGGTCTGTACTTCAAAACACAAGCCCTCCTGGTAGAGGAAAGAACAAACAACAACTTGAAAATAAAAGCCCGACTTTAAAACACTCATTTGGTAAACTCTAATCATGGGTCTAATAAAAGCCATGCTATACACTACACCCAGCTTATTTCTCCAGGGAGACATGAAAAGCGAGTCCCATGGAATGAGAGAATGGAGAGTCATTACTGCTTCTTTTAGTCACGGAGAGGGTAGACACGAAGGTGGCAACCAACTTTTAAAAAACAGATGTTTGAAAACCACGTAGACTAACATTGAACAGAAAGGGTACAGCCACTGTCCTGAGGCCAAGAAAGCAACCTGACATTGGGTGACAGCATGGAGGTTGGGGACACGTAGGGTAAGGGACACACAGATTGTTTTATGAACTCAGTATCCTGCGCAGACAGTATTTCCCGAACGTCCAATTTCCTAGGGAATAGGGGCAGCTGGGGGAGCCTTTCGGAGGCTGGATGCACAGGAATTTCAGGTGGAGAATTACAGTCCCACAGGGCAAAGATTTCCTTCAGCTGTAACTAAGTGCTGGGAAGGAAAAAAAAAAAAAAACAACACCAAAACCAGATAAAACCACTAACCCAATCTCCTTTACAGACCCACAGCATCATCATAGAAGATCAGCGTCAAGAAAGGCCACCTGCTCTACCCCGGGTGCTGCACAGGCAGGTGGCCTTCCAGGGAACACTGGCCACTTCAGCAGCAGGCGGCAGGGTGGTGCTCAGGATCTATCTCAGAGAACACTAGGCAGCATTCGCTCCAAGCAAGAGTGGCCTGACAAACGCCAGGCCAGAGAGGTCTCAGAGAACGGTCTAGAAAAGGGGCCAGGCAGGCCATCCGGATGATGCCTGGGGCAGTAGAAGCCTTAAGGATGGGGCAGAACACTTGCCAAAGCGTTAGGAAAAGATGGAAGGAGCCCCGCCCCCCCCCCCCCCCCCCCCCCCCCATATAGGTCGGTGTTTGCACCAAGGACTAATTTAGCATCATGGGCTGTCTGTACCAGAAGAGATTGGTCCCTAAGTTGAGTTGTTAGTATCCCCCTTTCCACACGCTTCTTCAATAATAATCACCTGTAGGCACTGATAAAGCCTCCTAGTAAATCAAGCCCAGCTCCAAGTTTGGGTCCCATCCAGTTGGGCAAATCATCTGTGCTATTTACTGAACCCAATCTCGGACAGGGACAGGATAAGAAATCCCAAGGCCGACTCTTCCCAACCTTGACCACACAAGTCCCCTCAATGCCCCTTCTCCACCCACGACAGCCCGCGGAGGCTGGGGATTGCCCATCCGTGGCTGCTCCACGCTGAGTCCGGGACTGTGCGCGCGCGGAGGAGGACTGAGAACTCAAAAGTGCCCAAGAAGCACAAAGGGGATGCGGCCCTCCTGAGCCCCACCGTCCCTGTCCCCTAGAGGGGGCCGGGCCACTACCTCCTGGAAGAGCTCCAGACTGTAGGTGTTGTCGTCGTCGGCGAAGAAGAGCACCCCGGGTTGCGCGCTCTGGTGCTGGTGCCTCTGGCGCAGCCAGGCGAGGCCCGCGTTGCGCTGCTCGGTGGCGCGCGGCAGCCACGGCCGCTTGTAGCGCCGCGGCGTGGGCACGTGCAGGTGCGTGTTGGGCAGCCCGGCCCGCGCCAGGAAGCTGCTCACCAGCTCGCTGCGTGTGGCTCGATCCTCCACCAGGATCCAGTGCAGCTGCGCCACCTGGCGGAACGTGTTAGCCAGGCGGGTCAGCTCGGCTTTCTGCACCGGGCGGCTGTAGGTGGGCGTGATGGCATAGATGGTGGGCAACCGCGGCTCCGGCTGCAACGGAGGAGGCCGGGACTCGTTGCGCTTCTCGGCAGTGTCACGCCCTAGGCTGCCCCGTCGGAGCGGGACTCGGGAGCCCCCGCAGCCCACTGTGTGGGGAGAGAAGTAGGGGCGCGAAGTGAGTTGGGGCGCGGGCCTGCGGGGATCCACGTCCAGCATGATGATGACGATCAGGATCCAGGGCAGGAGGATGAAGAAGCGGCTGCACAGCGCCGACTTCATGGTGCGCGCTCCCCCGCGTCTCGGGCACCCCCCAACCCCACCCTCCAGCAAGGACTCGCCTCGGGGTGGGAGACCCCGGTGTGCAGCTCGGACGGCGGCGGCGGCGTCAGCTGTCAGGGATCAGCTGCAGGCGCGCTCTCCATCCGGCCCAGGGCGTTGCGGGGACCTGGGCGTGCGGGTTGGCGCAGATTCCGGGCGATCTGGAACTCCAGGCGGTGCAGAGGGACTGGCTGGAGCGGCGGGTCACTCTGGTTGAAGTCGGCGGGAATCTGGACGCAGTCCAGCCGCGCTCTGCTGGCCCCGGAGTTGTGCCGACTGCGAGCCAGGCGGTGGTCCCCGCCGCGCTCTTTCCAGAGTGCGAGCCTGGAACCCGCGAGCCGGTGTGCCTCGCCGCTCCCGTCCCGCACCGCGGCTGGTAAAGAGGCTCCGGCGGCCGGCCTCGGCGAGCGCTCTGGGACCCTTTTGAAGGCGGCGGCAGATGATGCGAGGGGCTTTCCTCCGTCACATGTCGGCCAGTGCAGCTGCCAGCCCGGGTGGACGCTGAGGAGGCTGCGCCCCCAGCTCCGCTCGCGCGCCGCGGCAGAAACCTGCGCTCGCACCCCTCGCTCTCTCCTTCTCGGAACCTCTCCCGGCTCCAGACAGCAAGATCCCAAAGCAGGGAAAGAAAGAAAAAGCGAGGGGGCGGGGGCGCTGCAGACTCCAGCGTCCTCCCAGTGCTCCTGTGGGAAGATAGCAGCGCTGCTACTGGCGGAGAGGGGTTGCGGGGCGGAGGCGGGAAGGGCCCCGGCTCCCTGCCGGGTCTGAGCCCGGTGTTCCCCGCGGCCAGAGGCGGCAGGAGGGAGGACGGTCCCTGTGGGGCTGCGCGACCTCTGCCTGTGGGGGATGCTGTTCTCAGATCGCCGAGAGGGCTCGGCTCTCTGAAATGCTGCAGGGTCTTTGGAGATCAGCCAAAGAAAGCCATTCACGTGCGGACAACTCCAGAGACCTAGAGAGGGGAGAGGGAGGAGAGAGGCGGAGGGGGCAAAAAACCGGTCCCTTCCCTGACTCCCAGCTTGTGGGGTTGGTGTACAGAATCTCCGCAACCAAAACCGCTTCCTCATGAAAGGGAGAAATCAATAGAAGCCCACGGAGATGGAGGGGGTGCCGCACATAGGTGTTTGGCATGTGTGGCAGCCTTTTCCAAAGAATCAATTCGAACTGGCGCTGCCCGGCCACAGTTGGATCTCTGGGGGAGAAATTTCTGAAAACTCCAGCTGAGTAGGTTTAACTTATTTTTTCTTCATGTTCGAGCCCTCTGGGTTTGCAGTCTTAGGAATTATTCCTCGTGACCCTCCCTGGGATCCTTTCAAAGAGGCCTTGGAAGTGGAGTCACCTTCATTTTCTGCATGAGGGAGTGGAAGATGGAGACTTAAAAAGGGTTCCCGGGGTCAGTGGTAACTGGCAGAGTGGAAATAGAACGCGGGTGTCCTGGATATAACCTACCGTTTCCTCACTGCCCACCCTATCAGCACAGCCTGGCTGCAAGTGACTGGGCTTCCTCGATGTAAGATGGTACCGTCAAATCAAGCCGGTCAGAGGATGACAAACAGAGCCACAGCAGAACCTAAAGGACACTCTCAGTTGTTGAGGATCTATTAGCTGAACCCCAGGCTGTTCTTAGGAGCGGGGGCCCTGCTGCTAGCCACACCCCCGGGAGCCTCAGGGAAGCTCCCCCTACCCTACCCCACCCCCACCCCAGATAAATCATTTCTGAGCCTACCTTCCTCCACAATCTGACCTTCCCAATCTTAAACCTTGGAAAATCCTTCTGACTGCATTTGTGGGTAGAAAGCAGAGCGCTAGGGTAGATGCTCCAGCCCCATCTCTCCTCTTCACATAGCAATACCCTTCGCTTCGGGCCCAGGGTCTGGCACTGCGTGGCTGATGCTGAAAACTAAGAGTGAATTTTCAACCATTTCCCCTTTCATCACAATCCGAGCAAGCCCGACCCTTCGGTCCCACCCTCCCTGGGTCACCCAGAGCCCAAAGCCGTGCAGAGTGGTGAGTCCAAAATTTGAAAACCATGATTCCATTACATTCCCTACCTGTATTCTACCTCAGGACCTGACGTGCACGCCAGCATCCTGGGGGAGAGAGATGGGAGGAAGTTGGTACAAGCTGTCCTTAAATTCGCGAAGGTCACACACAAATCTGTCCCCTCTCCTCCCTTTACCAAAGTCGTTACCGAAACCTCCTTTATTCTTTCGAGCATTTTAAATTTGGTCGAAGAGAGATGCCCTGTGACAGTAGGAGTGAGACTCAGTGGTTAGTGAGGCACACTAGGAGCACCCCTAACCTTTGTTAGCAGGGATATCTTTTGTTAGTCCCGTTACACCATAAAACCTGTTCAGAATTGTGTGTGTGTGTGTGTGTGTGTGTGTTTCCTCCAGAACAGGGCTAGTCAAAGACAAGGCACGTTGGTAACCAATCAAACATGAAATTTAACTTGAGATGGTAGGTAGCACATAGAATTCACGGATCTCAAGGACTGTTGCTCTATCCCTTCCCACTGTCCTTGTCTTAGGGTTACTATTGCTGCGGTGGACCACTGTGATCAAAAGGCAAGCTGGAGGAAAGCGGCTTACACTTCCACATTGTAGTCCATCATTGAAGGAGGCCAGGACAGGAACTCAAACAGGGCAGGAACCGGGAGGCAGGAACTGATTGATGCAGAGGCCACGGAGGGGTGCTGCTTAGTGGCTTGCTCCTCGTGGCTTGCTCAGCTTGCTTTATAGACCCCAGAGATGGCACCACCCGCAATGGACTGTGCCCTCCCCCACCAATCACTAATTAAGAAAATGCCCTTCAGGTTTGCCTGTGGCCCGATCTTATGGAGGCATTTTCTTAATTGAGGTCCCTTCCTCTCAAATAACTTTAGCTTGTCAAGTTGGCATAAAACATAAAACAGCACAGTCCTCACCCTGTGCTCAGTTTCCTCTCCTCTCTTGGGGATTGTCTTGGTTCCTGGGTTTGGTTGTCTGTTACTTTCTCCTTATATAAATTGAGTCAATGAGCCTCTGAAAGTCTGCTTAATTTTAACAATTTTTTATTTCTTGGGTTAGCACACTTTGGTGTTTTGAATGAGAAAGCCTCTTTGAGGTTCATGGATTTAAACACTCCAGTTGGTCCGAGGCTGGTGGTGCTGTTTGAGAGGGCTTGGGAGGTGTGGCCTTGCTGGAGCAGGTGTGTCCTGGGGGTGGGCTCTGAGAGGGAATGACTGACCTGGGTCTAGTGTGCTTTCTCTGCGTACCTACTTGTTTGTTGAGATGTGAGGTCATAGCTTCCTGTTCCTGAAAACCTCCTTTGCTCCCCATCCACAACCTCTGAAAACATAAGCCCCAATAAACTGTTCTGTAAGCTGCTTTGGTCATGGTGTTTTTTATCATAGCAACAGATGAGTCAGCAATACATACACAAAGTCATGGGTTTCCTCATGCCTTCTCATGCACATCATTAGGCTTTGTTCTCATTCATTCCTCTCCCTCATGGTACCCCTTCCCCACTCCTTGTCACCCCTACTCAGGCTCAGTTTCCTTATCTGGAAAATGGGGTAGTAATGTATAATATACTCCATAGGGTCTTGAAAGGATTAAATGGGATTAAAAGGATTGAAAGGATTAAAACTACCCTGGAGATCTCTGTGAATCATAATTGTCATGAGGATAAAATGAAAGGTACTTTCTGAGCAAGACTGGTAATCACGGCCCCACATGTAGGGGAGGGGATTCCAGGTGGTGTAGTGTGGTCTCTTCATAAGTGGGTACAGGGAGAAGTGGAAAGGTGAAATTAGTTTACCCCCAAATAAAGCATATGCAGTAAAGATAATATGAGTCCAAGTGACATTTATTTCAAATGGCAGAATATGCCATACTGATTTACATTCAGTGGCAAAAAAAGTCACCCCAAATCATCCATTTGATATCTAAGTAAAGATACAACGTTACTAAGAACGTCCATCAGAAGAACCGGAAAACCCTAGACTTGAACACTCTCCAGTGTAAAAATGCATCACATTTAAAATATGTCGAGTTTACCAGGTGCTGAAATAGAAACCACTATAGATAGGAGCTTAAAGACAATGTCACGCTTTTGAAGTATCATCACTGGGTAGCTACGTTGCCTTTCCATGTAGCTCATGCTCATGATATTCTTACATAAAACAACTGAAATTTGATCTGTGGCTGATAATGAAGGTTGGTGGAAGTCACTAGAGTAATTAAAATAATTACCTAACTTCAGGGCCTCCGTGCAGCCTCTCAGTGTTTATTTTCATTTAATCTCTCTAATTATTTGTGTAGCAAAGTGAGCGTTGCTTCTCCTGTACTAATGAAGCCTTGGATCGCCGGCATTTCTGCATTCACTTGTTCTCAAATACACGAAGGTTAAAAAAAAAAAAAATCCTGTCTAGGGAGTTAAGAGAAAGCATGTATAAGGGCTAAACATTTGCCTCTGCTGTGATGAGGAATCTGCCTCAATGACTCCTGCAGCCCTGACATGGCTGTACGATTAGCCCACCCTGTTGACCTGATCCTTTTTGACATTTGAGCCTGGGGTTTTGCTAGTGTGACTAAATCAACCTTCAAGTGAGCATTGGGGACATCCTTGGCATTTTTAGTCAAGTAAGAAAGAGATCAAGGAAAGAAAATCCTTATACAGTTAAGTATTTTTAAATATGTAGATGATGAGAATGTGGTTATGCAAATCAGTTGATAGACAGACTCATAGCTAATTCGTGTGTGAGTGATGATCTAATATCAGTGTTGATGATGAGCTAACTCATACTTACATGCACATGAACACAAGTGCTTTCTTCCAAATACCAGGCACAGCTATGTGAAAGAATTATGTCAAGTAATTCTAGCAACACATTATTGATTATTGTCAGAAACATGACATTCAGATCACATATTAAATGGCTCATTTGTTTTATTTTCATGCATTTGAACTCTCTACAAATACCATGTTACCCTAGAATTGTTTGAAATTAGAATGCTTTCTTAAAATTTCAGATATTTGCAGCTGTAAACAAAATGCCGTTTGCTCAGTTAAATCTTTCTTGTTTTTTTATATTTT